ATTCATGCTGGGGAGCATAAGTGCAATGAAAGCCTCGAGAGCAAAGTGCCTGGTCTGGCTCGTCGTGTCCTTGCAAGGAGACAGCCGGTGATACAGGGTTGCTTCCCAAGAGGGCTCCATTTTGTTCCTCTGCTAAATTTAAAAAGGTCAACTAACAACAAAGGAGGGACTGGACAACCAAAATGGTTCACAATAGAAACCAGAGCCTCTTTGCTCTCCTCCCTGAGCCACAGCATCCCCGCACAGTTGCCAAGAAACTGCTGCTGTTTGGCAACCAAGTTGATGGCCAGTGTGAAATGACTGCCTGATGTCCAGTGTGGAAAAAAGTCTGCCTCACGCTAGCGGCAAATGTGGAACACACTTGGCTCCTTACTGCAGACATTAAGTAAATACTAATTCATATTGACTGGACAAATGCTTCCTTTCTCTTCCAGGGTGATGAGCGAGGGAGAAAGAGGAGAGACAAAAGCCACCCTTGAAATGGGCAGGTTTTAGAGAAATTATCAATTCGTACGGATACAGGACACGGGACATACTTCATTGCGCCCCAAGCTGCACAATCCCCTGCAGCTACCTCTGCCATTTCTTGCAAGCCAGGGCTGCACAGCTGCTGTGCTTCATTAGCCGTGCATTGCTGCAACCTTGGCAAACCCACTGCCTGCCATTCCAGCAAAGGCAACGCGGGTGAAGGAAACCAAGTTCCCACACCATCACCGGATGCTAGATTACACCCCACCATCTTCACATCCCCTGTAACTTCTAGACCCTAACGTTTCTGGCACTCTCCGACATGTACATCTAGGCTCTGTTGCAGAAACGTCCCTCCCACATCTACTGCCAGCGCTCTTCAGAGTATTGCTACACCGGTAACACCTTCCCTCCTCCCATGAGCCAAGCATCTGTAGCTGTTCTGCTCCAAATCCAGCTTTTCCCTGCTGAGCCCCACTTCCAGGCTGCCTGCTCCATCTTAACATGCCTCAGTCTCAATCAAAAGTCTTTAGAAACTCATAGGATTTACTCTAAAGGTAGCTCTTAACCCTCCCTTGACCCTTTCTCCTCTCACAATGTTCACAGCATTAGTCCACATTTAGACAGGAACATTTCCAGGGCAAAGACGGGGTCTTGCCAGTCTCAGAGGACGACACAGAGCGTTCCTCCCAACTCTGATACGTGCCTATTCATTTCATCTTAACCTGTTACACTGGCAGTTTCAAAAGGAATATACACATCAATCTTAAATCAATGGAGCCCTTTTTCTGCTAGAAGATTTTTCCATCTCAGAGATGGACTGTCCAGACAATGTGGATTTTTTTTTTTTTTTTAAATCATTTCTTTTTGCTATTTGCACCCAAATTCCACCTAAGACAGCAGCTTTCTCTGTCTGAGGAGCCCTGGATATAGCTGTGTGGCTTTTCAACATCAGAGTTAATCTACAGTTATGTCTAGTGCTGCAAAGTCCTCCCAGAACTTCTTCTGACTCAAAGAGGACATTGAATCCAGGCTTGAGAGTACCTGGATAAAGTGAATGGCAGCAGGAGAAACATCTAATCCAGCCTTATCATAACCCACTGACTTCAGAGAGAACAGAAGTGACATGACACTTAACCTCCTGGGAGCTAGCATGAGAGCTAGCAGAGAGTCTTAGTAACTTGTACCACCTCAGTTTCCCTCCAATGAACTGCCCGGAGACAATTTTACTTTGATTAAATTAGAGCGAATTTTGGAGCGCAGCTCACATCATTAGCAAGCCCTGATCATGCTGTACATGCTGCCGGCTGTTGGAATCACTTAGGAAACACAAGTAGATCATTCTCCATTCAAAAACCAAATATTTAGTCTTCAGTGCCTGCGAGTTATGCAGGGCATGAGAGAGTCAATCAGCAGCCTGACGTCAGAGGAGACACCTTCCCAGGGCATTGCTTTATGCCTCTGGGGAGCTGCTGGGTTCAGAGCTAGGTGCAGTTCATCCCACCAACTTCTAGGTCAGTGGCTAGGACCACTTAGGTCCACAGCAAAGGACCAACAAGGAGAGTTTCAGGTCAAAACATTGGGGCATGGC